CAGTGCACCATAGCGCCCTTTAGAGACACACAGTGCCCCATAGCGCCCTATAGAGACACACAGTGCCCCATAGCGCCCTTTAGAGACACACAGTGCCCCATAGCGCCCTATAGAGACACACAGTGCCCCATAGCGCCCTTTAGAGACACGCAGTGCCCCATAGCGCCGTATAGAGACACACAGTGCCCCATAGCGCCCTATAGAGACACACAGTGCCCCATAGCGCCCTTTAGAGACACACAGTGCCCCATAGCGCCCTGTAGAGACACACAGTGCCCCATAGCGCCCTATAGAGACACACAGTGCCCCATAGCGCCCTATAGAGACACACAGTGCCCCATAGCGCCCTATAGAGACACACAGTGCCCCATAGCGCCCTATAGACACACAGTGCCCCATAGCGCCCTATAGAGACACACAGTGCCCCACAGCGCTCTATAGAGACACACAGTGCCCCATAGCGCCCTGTAGAGACACACAGTGCCCCATAGCGCCCTATAGAGACACACAGTGCCCCATAGCGCCCTATAGAGACACAGTGCCCCATTGCGCCCTATAGAGACATACAGTGCCCCACAGCGCCCTGTAGTGACACACAGTGCCCCATAGCGCCCTGTAGAGACACACAGTGCCCCATAGCGCCCTATAGACACACACAGTGCCCCATAGCGCCCTGTAGAGACACACAGTGCCCCATAGCGCCCTATAGAGACACACAGTGCCCCATAGCCCCAAGAGAGAGACACAGTGCCCTATAGCGCCCTATAGAGACACACAGTGCCCCATAGCGCCCTATAGAGACACACAGTGCCCCATAGCCCCAAGAGAGACACACAGTGCCCCATAGCGCCCCATAGAGACACACAGTGCCCCATAGCGCCCTGTAGAGACACACAGTGCCCCATAGCGCCCCATAGAGACACACAGTGCCCCATAGCGCCCTATAGAGACACACAGTGCCCCATAGCGCCCTATAGAGACACACAGCGCCCCATAGCGCCCTATAGACACACAGTGCCCCATAGCACCCTATAGAGACACACAGTGCCCCATAGCGCCCTGTAGAGACACACAGTGCCCCATAGCGCCGTATAGACACACAGTGCCCCATAGCGCCCTATAGAGACACACAGTGCCCCATAGCCCCAAGAGAGACACACAGTGCCCCATAGCGCCCTATAGAGACACACAGCGCCCCATAGCGCCCTATAGAGACACACAGTGCCCCATAGCGCCCTATAGAGACACACAGTGCCCCAAAGCGCCCTATAGAGACACAGTGCCCCATAGCGCCCCATAGAGACACACAGTGCCCCATTGCGCCCTATAGAGACACACAGTGCCCCATAGCGCCGTACAAAGACACACAGTGCCCCATAGCGCCCTATAGAGACACACAGTGCCCCATAGCGCCCTATAGACACACAGTGCCCCATAGCGCCCTATAGAGACACACAGTGCCCCATAGCGCCCTAGAGAGACACACAGTGCCCCATAGCGCCCTGTAGAGACACACAGTGCCCCATAGCGCCCTATAGAGACACACAGTGCCCCATAGCGCCCTATAGAGACACAGTGCCCCATAGCCCCAAGAGAGACACACAGTGCCCCATAGCGCCCTATAGAGACACACAGTGCCCCATAGCGCCCTATAGACACACAGTGCCCCATAGCCCCAAGAGAGACACACAGTGCCCCATAGCGCCCTATAGAGACACACAGTGCCCCATAGCGCCCTATAAAGACACACAGCGCCCCATAGCGCCCTATAGACACACAGTGCCCCATAGCGCCCTATAGAGACACACAGTGCCCCATAGCCCCAAGAGAGACACACAGTGCCCCATAGCGCCCTATAGAGACACACAGCGCCCCATAGCGCCCTATAGAGACACACAGTGCCCCATAGCGCCCTATAGAGACACACAGTGCCCCATAGCGCCCTATAGAGACACACAGTGCCCCATAGCGCCCTATAGAGACACACAGTGCCCCATAGCGCCCTATAGAGACACAGTGCCCCATTGCGCCCTACAGAGACATACAGTGCCCCATAGCGCCCTGTAGTGACACACAGTGCCCCATAGCGCCCTACAGAGACACACAGTGCCCCATAGCGCCCTATAGAGACACACAGTGCCCCATAGCGCCCTGTAGAGACACACAGTGCCCCATAGCGCCCTATAGAGACACACAGTGCCCCATAGCCCCAAGAGAGACACACAGTGCCCCATAGAGCCCCATAGAGACACACAGTGCCCCATAGCGCCCTGTAGAGACACACAGTGCCCCATAGCGCCCCGTAGAGACACACAGTGCCCCATAGCGCCCTATAGAGACACACAGTGCCCCATAGCGCCCTATAGAGACACACAGCGCCCCATAGCGCCCTATAGACACACAGTGCCCCATAGCGCCCTATAGAGACACACAGTGCCCCATAGCGCCCTGTAGAGACACACAGTGCCCCATAGCGCCCTATAGAGACACACAGTGCCCCATAGCGCCCCATAGAGACACACAGTGCCCCATAGCGCCCTATAGAGACACACAGTGCCCCATAGCGCCCTATAAAGACACACAGCGCCCCATAGCGCCCTATAGACACACAGTGCCCCATAGCGCCCTATAGAGACACACAGTGCCCCATAGCGCCCTATAGAGACACAGTGCCCCATAGCGCCCTATAGAGACACACAGTGCCCCATAGCGCCTTACAGAGACACAGTGCCCCATAGCGCCCCATAGAGACACACAGTGCCCCATAGCGCCCTATAGAGACACACAGTGCCCCATAGCGCCGTACAAAGACACACAGTGCCCCATAGCGCCCTATAGAGACACACAGTGCCCCATAGCGCCCTGTAGACACACAGTGCCCCATAGCGCCCTATAGAGACACACAGTGCCCCATAGCGCCCTAGAGAGACACACAGTGCCCCATAGCGCCCTGTAGAGACACACAGTGCCCCATAGCGCCCTATAGAGACACACAGTGCCCCATAGCCCCAAGAGAGAGACACAGTGCCCCATAGCGCCCTATAGAGACACACAGTGCCCCATAGCGCCCTATAGACACACAGTGCCCCATAGCCCCAAGAGAGACACACAGTGCCCCATAGCGCCCTATAGAGACACACAGTGCCCCATAGCCCCAAGAGAGAGACACAGTGCCCCATAGCGCCCTATAGAGACACACAGTGCCCCATAGCGCCCTATAGACACACAGTGCCCCATAGCCCCAAGAGAGACACACAGTGCCCCATAGCGCCCTATAGAGACACACAGTGCCCCATAGCGCCCCATAGAGACACACAGTGCCCCATAGCGCCCTATAAAAACACACAGTGCCCCATAGCGCCCCATAGAGACACACAGTGCCCCATAGCCCCAACAGAGACACACAGTGCCCCATAGCGCCCTATAGAGACACAGTGCCCCATAGCGCCCCATAGAGACACACAGTGCCCCATAGCGCCCTATAGAGACACACAGTGCCCCATAGCGCCCCATAGAGACACACAGTGCCCCATAGCGCCAAGAGAGACACACAGTGCCCCATAGCGCCCTATAGACACACAGTGCCCCATAGCGCCCTGTAGAGACACACAGTGCCCCATAGCGCCCCATAGAGACACACAGTGCCCCATAGCGCCCTATAGAGACACACAGTGCCCCATAGCGCCCCATAGAGACACACAGTGCCCCATAGCGCCCTATAAAGACACACAGTGCCCCATAGCGCCCCATAGAGACACACAGTGCCCCATAGCCCCAACAGAGACACACAGTGCCCCATAGCGCCCTATAGAGACACAGTGCCCCATAGCGCCCCATAGAGACACACAGTGCCCCATAGCGCCCTATAGAGACACACAGTGCCCCATAGCGCCCCATAGAGACACACAGTGCCCCATAGCGCCAAGAGAGACACACAGTGCCCCATAGCGCCCCATAGAGACACACAGTGCCCCATAGCGCCCTGTAGAGACATACAGTGCCCCATAGCGCCCTATAGAGACACACAGTGCCCCATAGCGCCCTATAGAGTCACACAGTGCCCCATAGCGCCCTATAGAGACACACAGAGCCCCATAGCGCCCTATAGAGACACACAGTGCCCCATAGCGTCGTACAGAGACACACAGTGCCCCATAGCGCCCTATAGAGACACAGTGCCCCATAGCGCCCTATAGAGACACACAGTGCCCCATAGCGCCCTGTAGAGACACACAGTGCCCCATAGCGCCCTATAGAGACACACAGTGCCCCATAGCGCCCTATAGAGACACAGTGCCCCATTGCGCCCTATAGAGACATACAGTGCCCCATAGCGCCCTGTAGTGACACACAGTGCCCCATAGCGCCCTATAGACACACAGTGCCCCATAGCGCCCTATAGAGACACACAGTGCCCCATAGCGCCCTAGAGAGACACACAGTGCCCCATAGCGCCCTGTAGAGACACACAGTGCCCCATAGCGCCCTATAGAGACACACAGTGCCCCATAGCGGCCTATAGAGACACACAGTGCCCCATAGCGCCCTATAGACACACAGTGCCCCATAGCCCCAAGAGAGACACACAGTGCCCCATAGCGCCCTATAGAGACACACAGTGCCCCATAGCGCCCTATAGAGACACACAGTGCCCCATAGCGCCCTACAGAGACACACAGTGCCCCATAGCGCCCTATAGAGACACACAGTGCCCCATAGCGCCCTATAGAGACACAGTGCCCCATTGCGCCCTATAGAGACATACAGTGCCCCATAGCGCCCTGTAGTGACACACAGTGCCCCATAGCGCCCCATAGAGACACACAGTGCCCCATAGCGCCCTACAGAGACACACAGTGCCCCATAGCGCCCTATAGAGACACACAGTGCCCCATAGCGCCCTATAGAGACACACAGTGCCCCATAGCGCCCTGTAGAGACACACAGTGCCCCATAGCGCCCTATAGAGACACACAGTGCCCCATAGCCCCAAGAGAGACACACAGTGCCCCATAGAGCCCCATAGAGACACACAGTGCCCCATAGCGCCCTGTAGAGACACACAGTGCCCCATAGCGCCCCATAGAGACACACAGTGCCCCATAGCGCCCTATAGAGACACACAGTGCCCCATAGCGCCCTATAGAGACACACAGCGCCCCATAGCGCCCTATAGACACACAGTGCCCCATAGCGCCCTATAGAGACACACAGTGCCCCATAGCGCCCTGTAGAGACACACAGTGCCCCATAGCGCCCTATAGAGACACACAGTGCCCCATAGCGCCCCATAGAGACACACAGTGCCCCATAGCGCCCTATAGAGACACACAGTGCCCCATAGCGCCCTATAAAGACACACAGCGCCCCATAGCGCCCTATAGACACACAGTGCCCCATAGCGCCCTATAGAGACACACAGTGCCCCATAGCGCCCTATAGAGACACAGTGCCCCATAGCGCCCTATAGAGACACACAGTGCCCCATAGCGCCTTACAGAGACACAGTGCCCCATAGCGCCCCATAGAGACACACAGTGCCCCATAGCGCCCTATAGAGACACACAGTGCCCCATAGCGCCGTACAAAGACACACAGTGCCCCATAGCGCCCTATAGAGACACACAGTGCCCCATAGCGACCTGTAGACACACAGTGCCCCATAGCGCCCTATAGAGACACACAGTGCCCCATAGCGCCCTAGAGAGACACACAGTGCCCCATAGCGCCCTGTAGAGACACACAGTGCCCCATAGCGCCCTATAGAGACACACAGTGCCCCATAGCCCCAAGAGAGAGACACAGTGCCCCATAGCGCCCTATAGAGACACACAGTGCCCCATAGCGCCCTATAGACACACAGTGCCCCATAGCCCCAAGAGAGACACACAGTGCCCCATAGCGCCCTATAGAGACACACAGTGCCCCATAGCGCCCTACAGAGAAACACAGTGCCCCATAGCGCCCCATAGAGACACACAGTGCCCCATAGCGCCCTGTAGAGACACACAGTGCCCCATAGCGCCCCATAGAGACACGCAGTGCCCCATAGCGCCATATAGAGACACACAGTGCCCCATAGCGCCGTACAGAGACACACAGTGCTCCATAGCGCCCTATAGACACACAGTGCCCCATAGCGCCCTATAGACACACAGTGCCCCATAGCGCCCTGTAGAGACACACAGTGCCCCATAGCGCCCCATAGAGACACACAGTGCCCCATAGCGCCCCATAGAGACACACAGTGCCCCATAGCGCCCTATAAAGACACACAGTGCCCCATAGCGCCCCATAGAGACACACAGTGCCCCATAGCCCCAACAGAGACACACAGTGCCCCATAGCGCCCTATAGAGACACAGTGCCCCATAGCGCCCCATAGAGACACACAGTGCCCCATAGCGCCCTATAGAGACACACAGTGCCCCATAGCGCCCCATAGAGACACACAGTGCCCCATAGCGCCAAGAGAGACACACAGTGCCCCATAGCGCCCTGTAGAGACACACAGTGCCCCATAGCGCCCTATAGAGACACACAGTGCCCCATAGCGCCGTATAGAGTCACACAGTGCCCCATAGCGCCCTATAGAGACACACAGAGCCCCATAGCGCCCTATAGAGACACACAGTGCCCCATAGCGTCGTACAGAGACACACAGTGCCCCATAGCGCCCTATAGAGACACAGTGCCCCATAGCGCCCTATAGAGACACACAGTGCCCCATAGCGCCCTGTAGAGCCACACAGTGCCCCATAGCGCCCTATAGAGACACACAGTGCCCCATAGCGCCCTATAGAGACACAGTGCCCCATTGCGCCCTATAGAGACATACAGTGCCCCATAGCGCCCTGTAGTGACACACAGTGCCCCATAGCCCCAACAGAGACACACAGTGCCCCATAGCGCCCTATAGAGACACACAGTGCCCCATAGCGCCCTGTAGAGACACACAGTGCCCCATAGCCCCAAGAGAGAGACACAGTGCCCCATAGCGCCCTATAGAGACACACAGTGCCCCATAGCGCCCTATAGAGACACACAGTGCCCCATAGCCCCAAGAGAGAGACACAGTGCCCCATAGCGCCCTATAGAGACACACAGTGCCCCATAGCGCCCTGTAGAGACACACAGTGCCCCATAGCGCCCCATAGAGACACACAGTGCCCCATAGCGCCCTATAGAGACACACAGTGCCCCATAGCGCCCTATAGAGACACACAGCGCCCCATAGCGCCCTATAGACACACAGTGCCCCATAGCGCCCTATAGAGACACACAGTGCCCCATAGCGCCCTGTAGAGACACACAGTGCCCCATAGCGCCCTATAGAGACACACAGTGCCCCATAGCGCCCCATAGAGACACACAGTGCCCCATAGCGCCCTATAGAGACACACAGTGCCCCATAGCGCCCTATAAAGACACACAGCGCCCCATAGCGCCCTATAGACACACAGTGCCCCATAGCGCCCTACAGAGACACACAGTGCCCCATAGCGCACTATAGACACACAGTGACCCATAGCGCCCTATAGAGACACACAGTGCCCCATAGCGCCTTACAGAGACACAGTGTCCCATAGCGCCCCATAGAGACACACAGTGCCCCATAGCGCCCTATAGAGACACACAGTGCCCCATAGCGCCGTACAAAGACACACAGTGCCCCATAGCGCCCTATAGAGACACACAGTGCCCCATAGCGCCCTGTAGACACACAGTGCCCCATAGCGCCCTATAGAGACACACAGTGCCCCATAGCGCCCTAGAGAGACACACAGTTCCCCATAGCGCCCTGTAGAGACACACAGTGCCCCATAGCGCCCTATAGAGACACACAGTGCCCCATAGCCCCAAGAGAGAGACACAGTGCCCCATAGCGCCCTATAGAGACACACAGTGCCCCATAGCGCCCTATAGACACACAGTGCCCCATAGCGCCCTGTAGAGACACACAGTGCCCCATAGCCCCAAGAGAGACACACAGTGCCCCATAGCGCCCTACAGAGACACACAGTGCCCCATAGCGCCCCATAGAGACACACAGTGCCCCATAGCGCCCTGTAGAGACACACAGTGCCCCATAGCGCGCTATAGAGACACACAGTGCCCCATAGCGCCCCATAGAGACACGCAGTGCCCCATAGCGCCCTATAGAGACACACAGTGCCCCATAGCGCCGTACAGAGACACACAGTGCTCCATAGCGCCCTATAGACACACAGTGCCCCATAGCGCCCTGTAGAGACACACAGTGCCCCATAGCGCCCCATAGAGACACACAGTGCCCCATAGCGCCCTATAGAGACACACAGTGCCCCATAGCGCCCCATAGAGACACACAGTGCCCCATAGCGCCCTATAAAAACACACAGTGCCCCATAGCGCCCCATAGAGACACACAGTGCCCCATAGCCCCAACAGAGACACACAGTGCCCCATAGCGCCCTATAGAGACACAGTGCCCCATAGCGCCCCATAGAGACACACAGTGCCCCATAGCGCCCTATAGAGACACACAGTGCCCCATAGCGCCCCATAGAGACACACAGTGCCCCATAGCGCCAAGAGAGACACACAGTGCCCCATAGCGCCCCATAGAGACACACAGTGCCCCATAGCGCCCTGTAGAGACATACAGTGCCCCATAGCGCCCTATAGAGACACACAGTGCCCCATAGCGCCCTATAGAGACACACAGTGCCCCATAGCGCCGTATAGAGTCACACAGTGCCCCATAGCGCCCTATAGAGACACACAGTGCCCCATAGCGCCCTATAGAGACACACAGTGCCCCATAGCGTCGTACAGAGACACACAGTGCCCCATAGCGCCCTATAGAGACACAGTGCCCCATAGCGCCCTATAGAGACACACAGTGCCCCATAGCGCCCTGTAGAGACACACAGTGCCCCATAGCGCCCTATAGAGACACACAGTGCCCCATAGCGCCCTATAGACACACAGTGCCCCATAGCGCCCTATAGAGACACGCAGTGCCCCATAGCGCCCTATAGAGACACACAGTGCCCCATAGCGCCATACAGAGACACACAGTGCCCCATAGCGCCCTATAGAGACACACAGTGCCCCATAGCGCCCTATAGAGACACACAGTGCCCCATAGCCCCAACAGAGACACACAGTGCCCCATAGCGCCAAGAGAGACACACAGTGCCCCATAGCGCCCTATAGAGACACACAGTGCCCCATAGCGCCGTATAGAGTCACACAGTGCCCCATAGCGCCCTATAGAGTCACACAGTGCCCCATAGCGCCCCATAGAGACACACAGTGCCCCATAGCGCCCCATAGAGACACACAGTGCCCCATAGCGCCCTATAGAGACACACAGTGCCCCATAGCGCCCTGTAGAGACACACAGTGCCCCATAGCGCCCTATAGAGACACACAGTGCCCCATAGCGCCCTATAGACACACAGTGCCCCATAGCGCCCTATAGAGACACGCAGTGCCCCATAGCGCCCTATAGAGACACACAGTGCCCCATAGCGCCATACAGAGACACACAGTGCCCCATAGCGCCCTATAGAGACACACAGTGCCCCATAGCCCCAAGAGAGACACACAGTGCCCCATAGCGCCCTATAGACACACAGTGCCCCATAGCGCCCCATAGAGACACACAGTGCCCCATAGCGCCCTATAGAGACACACAGTGCCCCATAGCGCCCTACAGAGACACACAGTGCTCCATAGCGCCCTATAGGCACACAGTGCCCCATAGCGCCCTATAGACACACAGTGCCCCATAGCGCCCTATAGACACACAGTGCCCCATAGCGCCCTGTAGAGACACACAGTGCCCCATAGCGCCCTGTAGACACACAGTGCTCCATAGCGCCCTATAGACACACAGTGCCCCATAGCGCCCTGTAGAGACACACAGTGCCCCATAGCGCCCTGTAGAGACACGCAGTGCCCCATAGCGCCCTATAGACACACAGTGCCCCATAGCGCCATATAGAGACACACAGTGCCCCATAGCGCCCCATAGAGACACACAGTGCCCCATAGTGCCCTATAGAGACACACAGTGCCCCATAGTGCCCTATAGACACGCAGTGCCCCATAGCGCCATATAGAGACACACAGTGCCCCATAGCGCCCCATAGAGACACACAGTGCCCCATAGCGCCCCATAGAGACACACAGTGCCCCATAGCGCCCTATAGACACACAGTGCCCCATAGCGCCATATAGAGACACACAGTGCCCCATATCCCCAAGAGAGTCACACAGTGCCCCATAGCGCCCCATAGAGACACACAGTGCCCCATAGCGCCAAAAGAGACACACAGTGCCCCATAGCGCCCTATAGAGACACACAGTGCCCCATAGCGCCCCATAGAGACACACAGTGCCCCATAGCGCCCTATAGAGACACACAGTGCCCCATAGTGCCCATAGAGACACACAGTGCCCAATAGCGCCCTATAGAGACACACAGTGCCCCATAGCGCCCTATAGAGACACACAGTGCCCCATAGCGCAATATAGAGACACACAGTGCCCCATAGCGCCCTGTAGAGACACACAGTGCCCCATAGCGCCCTGTAGAGACACACAGTGCCCCATAGCGCCCTATAGAGACACAGTGCCCCATAGTGCCCTATAGAGACACACAGTGCCCCATAGCGCCCTATGGAGACACACAGTGCCCCATAGCGCCCTATAGAGACACACAGTGCCCCATAGCGCCCGATAGACACACAGTGCCCCATAGCGCCCCATAGAGACACACAGTGCCCCATAGCGCAATATAGAGACACACAGTGCCCCATAGCACCCTATAGAGACACACAGTGCCCCATAGCGCCCTGTAGAGACACACAGTGCCCCATAGCGCCCTATAGACACACAGTGACCCATAGTGCCCCACAGAGACACACAGTGCCCCATAGCGCCCTATAGAGACACACAGTGCCCCATAGCGCCCTATAGACACACAGTGACCCATAGTGCTCCACAGAGACACACAGTGCCCCATAGCGCCCTATAGAGACACACAGTGCCCCATAGCGCCCTATAGACACACAGTGCCCCATAGTGCCCCACAGAGACACACAGTGCCCCATAGCGCCCTGTAGAGACACACATTTCCCATAGTGCCCTGTAGAGACACACTGTGCCCCATAGCGCCCTAAAGAGACACACAGTGCCCCATAGCGCCTTATAGAGACACACAGTGCCCCATAGCGCCCTGGAGAGACACACAGTGCCCCATAGCGCCCTATAGACACACAGTGCCCCATAGCGCCCTATAGAGACACACAGTGCCCCATAGCGCCCTATAGAGACACACAGTGCCCCATAGCGCCCTGGAGAGACACACAGTGCCCCATAGCGCCCTATAGACACACAGTGACCCATGGTGCCCCACAGAGACACACAGTGCCCCATAGCGCCCTATAGAGACACACAGTGCCCCATAGCGCCCTATAGACACACAGTGCCCCATAGCGCCCTGTAGAGACACACAGGGCCCCATAGCGCCCTATGGAGACACACAGTGCCCCATAGCGCCCCGTAGAGACACACAGTGCCCCATAGCGCCCTATAGAGACACACAGTGCCCCATAGCGCAATATAGAGACACACAGTGCCCCATAGCGCCCTATAGAGACACACAGTGCCCCATAGCGCCCTGTAGAGACACACAGTGCCCCATAGCGCCCTATAGAGACACACAGTGCCCCATAGCGCCCTACAGAGACACAAAGTGCCCCATAGCGCCCTATAGAGACACACAGTGCCCCATAGCGCCCCGTAGAGACACACAGTGCCCCATAGCGCCCTGTAGAGACACACAGTGCCCCATAGCGCCGTATAGACACACAGTGACCCATAGTGCCCCACAGAGACACACAGTGCCCCATTGCGCCCTATAGAGACACACAGTGCCCCATAGCGCCCTATAGAGACACACAGTGCCCCATCGCGCCAAGAGACACACAGTGCCCCATAGCGCCCTATAGAGACACACAGTGCCCCATAGCGCCCTATAGAGACACACAGTGCCCCATCGCGCCAAGAGACACACAGTGCCCCATAGTGCCCATAGAGACACACAGTGCCCCATAGCGCCCTATAGAGACACACAGTGCCCCATAGCGCCCTATAGACACACAGTGACCCATAGCGCCCTATAGAGACACACAGTGCCCCATAGCGCCCTATAGAGAGACACAGTGCCCCATAGCGCCAGATAAAGACACACAGTGCCCCATAGCGCCCAATAGAGACACACAGTGCCCCATAGCGCCCCATAGAGACACACAGTGCCCCATAGCGCCAGATAAAGACACACAGTGCCCCATAGCGCCCCATAGAGACACACAGTGCCCCATAGCGCCCTGTAGAGACACAAATTGCCCCATAGCGCCCTATAGAGACACACAGTGCCCCATAGCGCCCCATAGAGACACACAGTGCCCCATAGCGCCCTATAAAGACACACAGTGCCCCATAGCGCCAGATAAAGACACACAGTGCCCCATAGCGCCCCATAGAGACACACAGTGCCCCATAGCGCCCTGTAGAGACACACTGTGCCCCATAGCGCCCTATAGACACACACAGTGCCCCATAGCGCCCTAAAGAGACACACAGTGCCCCATAGCGCCCTATAGAGTCACAGTGCCCCATAGCGCCCTGTAGAGATACACAGTGCCCCATAGCGCCCTGTAGAGACACACTGTGCCCCATAGCGCCCTATAGAGACACACAGTGCCCCATAGCGCCCTAAAGAGACACACAGTGCCCCATAGCGCCCTATAGAGTCACAGTGCCCCATAGCGCCCTATAGAGACACACAGTGCCCCATAGCGCCCTGTAGAGACACAAATTGCCCCATACCGCCCTATAGAGACACACAGAGCCGCATAGCGCCCTATAGAGACACACAGTGCCCCATAGCGCCCTATAGACACACACAGTGCCCCATAGCGCTCTGTAGAGACACACAGTGCCCCATAGCGCCCTACAGAGACACACAGTGCCCCATAGCGCCCTATAGAGATACACAGTGCCCCATAGAGCCCCATAGAGACACACAGTGCCCCATAGCGCCAAGAGAGACACACAGTGCCCCATAGCGCCCTATAGAGACACACAGTGCCCCATAGCGCCCCATAGAGACACACAGTGCCCCATAGCGCCCATAGAGACACACAGTGCCCAATAGCGCCCTATAGAGACACACAGTGCCCCATAGCGCCCTGTAGAGACACACAGTGCCCCATAGCGCCCTATAGAGACACACAGTGCCCCATAGCGCCCTGTAGAGACACACAGTGCCCCATAGCGCCCTATAGAGACACACAGTGCCCCATAGCGCCCTATTGAGACACACAGTGCCCCATAGCGCCCTGTAGAGACACACAGTGCCCCATAGTGCCCATAGAGACACACAGTGCCCCATAGCGCCCTATAGAGACACACAGTGCCCCATAGCGCCCTATAGAGACACACAGTGCCCCATAGCGCCAGATAAAGACACACAGTGCCCCATAGCGCCCCATAGAGACACACAGTGCCCCATAGCGCCCCATAGAGACACACAGTGCCCCATAGCGCCCTGTAGAGACACAAATTGCCCCATAGCGCCCTATAGAGTCACAGTGCCCCATAGAGCCCTATAGAGACACACAGTGCCCCATAGCGCCCTATAGAGACACACAGTGCCCCATAGCGCCCTATAGACACACACAGTGCCCCATAGCGCCCTATAGAGTCACAGTGCCCCATAGCGCCCTATAGAGATACACAGTGCCCCATAGCGCCCTGTAGAGACACACTGTGCCCCATAGCGCCCTATAGAGACACACAGTGCCCCATAGCGCCCTAAAGAGACACACAGTGCCCCATAGCGCCCTATAGAGTCACAGTGCCCCATAGCGCCCTATAGAGATACACAGTGCCCCATAGCGCCCTGTAGAGACACACAGTGCCCCATAGCGCCCTACAGAGACACACAGTGCCCCATAGCGCCCTATAGAGATACACAGTGCCCCATAGCGCCCTGTAGAGACACAAATTGCCCCATAGCGCCCTATAGAGTCACACAGTGCCCCATAGCGCCCTATAGAGATACACAGTGCCCCATAGCGCCCTGTAGAGACACACAGTGCCCCATAGCGCCCCATAGAGACACACAGTGCCCCATAGCGCCCTATAGAGACACACAGTGCCCCATAGTGCCCATAGAGACACACAGTGCCCAATAGCGCCCTGTAGAGACACACAGTGCCCCATAGCGCCCTATAGAGACACACAGTGCCCCATAGCGCACTATAGAGACACACAGTGCACCATAGTGCCCCACAGAGGCACGCAGTGCCCCATAGCGCCCTATAGAGACACACAGTGCCCCATAGCGCCCTATAGAGACACACAGTGCCCCATAGCCCCAAGAGAGACACACAGTGCCCCATAGCGCCCTATAGACACACAGTGCCCCATAGCGCCCCATAGAGACACACAGTGCCCCATAGCGCCCTATAGAGACACACAGTGCCCCATAGCGCCCTACAGAGACACACAGTGCTCCATAGCGCCCTATAGGCACACAGTGCCCCATAGCGCCCTATAGACACACAGTGCCCCATAGCGCCCTATAGACACACAGTGCCCCATAGCGCCCTGTAGAGACACACAGTGCCCCATAGCGCCCTGTAGACACACAGTGCTCCATAGCGCCCTATAGACACACAGTGCCCCATAGCGCCCTGTAGAGACACACAGTGCCCCATAGCGCCCTGTAGAGACACGCAGTGCCCCATAGCGCCCTATAGACACACAGTGCCCCATAGCGCCATATAGAGACACACAGTGCCCCATAGCGCCCCATAGAGACACACAGTGCCCCATAGTGCCCTATAGAGACACACAGTGCCCCATAGTGCCCTATAGACACGCAGTGCCCCATAGCGCCATATAGAGACACACAGTGCCCCATAGCGCCCCATAGAGACACACAGTGCCCCATAGCGCCCCATAGAGACACACAGTGCCCCATAGCGCCCTA